CCCTTGTCTAGCATCTTTGACATGAATTCAACATAATCTTTCTCCATTTGTGGTTTGCGTTTTAAGGTGCGTGCAAGCCTATGTAAACACTCTAGCTTCTGTTGTTAGGCATGAAGACATTTGTTGAGCAAAAGGGTAGGGGCATTTCCCAGTTCCCAAGCTGGTTCTTGTGAATTCCTTTGTCCATGATCTTCGTGAGCTTTCGGTCTTCGATCGACAGACTGACGTCATAATCATTCCGGGTTACGCTGGCCTCTCTGTTACTTCCAAACGTTGAAAGGAAATACTTCCACCCCGGGCCGTCCGCATTCAACTTGTCCGCCAGCTCGGTAGAAATAATTGAAGCGTTGCTCTGGTCATCCATAATGGCGTATGCTCTATGGGCGCCTCACAGTGATTTTCTCCGTAGATATCGACCGATACACTTTTTCTGCAGGAAAGTCCACCGGGGGTGCCTTTGCATACCAACGTGTATTTTGCGTTCACGTTGTCTTGGCTATCGTTGACCGTGCCTGCTTCTTTTGCTCTCTCCTTTTTCTCTGCACTGCTCAAATGAAGAAGGTCGAAGTGCCTTCCGCTGCCACATATTCTACACTTCACTTTCTCCCTATACAAGCTGGCTAAATGATGAAATTAGAATCGGTGGAGACTTAGCCTTTCCTTTATATTTGTTACTCTTCGTCCGTATCTGACCTCCTTGGTACTTCCACACGTTAAAAGAAGATACTTCCATTCCGAGCCGTCTGCATTCAACTTGTCCGCCAGCTCGGTAGAAATAATTTTCTCTGTAGATATCGACCCATAATCTTTCGCTGCAGAAATGTCCACCGGGGGCGCCGACGTGCATTTTGTGTTAATTTTGCCTTGGCTGTCGTCATCTGTGCCTGCTTTTTTAACTTTCTGAAAATGGCGACGTCCCCGTCAAAGACGTTAGGTTGGCATTTGGGCAGACCCTGCTTAGCAAGACTCGCGACGAGTTGCCGATTGGTTGAAGTGAAAGTTTCAAGGGACATTGTGTTGAAGGCTCCCTTGTGTGTAGAGTATCACACTGGTTGTTTGGTAGCAAGTATGGGGGGATTCAGATAACCTTACGCGCCATGAGTGCATGGGGGCTCGTCTGGCGTATTCTTCGGATGCGGCTCAAAATGGGTCCTTTCCGCCACAAAATCCGGGAGCGGCGGCAGGATTTAAACTTCGCCAGGTGCCCCTCTCTCAGTAAGGGACGGTCTGTCGGAGAGAGTGTGTCCCGCAGGATGGTGTGTCTCTCATCAGGGTGGTATTTTTCCATGGGAGTGTACGGAATTCGTATGGGGGTTACGTATTCGCTCAGGGCGGACTAGAATGGACCCATGCGATAGTTCTATCTTAGCATTGGGTGAAATCCATGTAGGGTAGAACTGGGGAATCCTTTAACTCCTCTTCAACTCTCAACCCTTCTTCGATCAGAGATTCCTCGATTTCTCTTTATTTTGCGTTCGCGACGGTGACCTTTCTATTCGCGGAGAGAATTGCGAGGTCCTTATCGTGTTGCGTGCGGGCTTGCTGACGACGTCTCTCCTCTTCCGCTTCGCGCTGATTCATCTCGTTTTCCTGCAAGTGCTTGCCGCCGCTTTCTCTGCCGCTGCTTTCATTCTCATGACGCAGGATATGAGGGCGCGCCTGACCAGTGGCTGCGACGCGCACTTCGAGACCGGAAAGATGATGATTCGGATAGGTTGTGGGATTTACGGGAACTCTTTATCTTTTCAGTTAATGTACGTGTGCGTTGCAGGACTGCGTTTTCTGAGGGAAAGACTTGCTGCTTGTACGCTCCTTTTTTGTCTTGCTTATATAGATCAGTTAGCGTCGACTGAATGCGTTCAAAGTCACGGCAATAAGTTGAGCAGCATGTTGCCGGAGCATGACTGCAGTTCTGCTGTTTGTAGAGAATCTATTACCCGCAAGAGTTTGCGTTCTTTACCCCCTGAATTTTTCGTCTGTTCTCTATGGTATATGTTAATGTCTCTAGGGTTATTACTAGGTGTCAATTCGCGGTGATATCTCCTGCTGGATCTTCTTGTCGTTTCGACATGCTATGTTTTTCTTTTCACGTCCACTGTTTGCCAATATTTAAATAACGGCTTACCTCAATGTTCTCTAGTTGTTGGGCGTCTCGGCAATTTTTTCCACTCTCGCGTTCTCGATTGCGGTTGCACGTCAATCGAGATAACGCCGTTGAAATCGTGTACCACGCTAGCTCATTAACTCTCAATCTGGCTTATAGAACAATGCTTTAAATCATATATATATTGAAAAATCAAGGGCCAAATAAACAAAAATACTCGAACCGAAGAAGTGAAACAACGAAAATAACGTCGAAAAAAGCGATCACTTACATTGTCTAACTCCTAAGAGAGAAAAATACGAGGTTTTTTCCTTCTGCTTTATTTTCCTAGTGCGATTTGAAACCTCTAAGTTTTCTCCCAAAATTAGTTATACGAATTACGATTATTAAACATTAACTATAAAAAAAAGGTTCGAGGCTGACTCGCGTCACATAATTGGCTATTTAGTCTTTGGCCGCTAAACAATTCAGTTCGAATATACGTTTCTGTAAATAAATCGCGCGCGTTTCAATAATTCACCAAAATGTTCGTTGGGAAGTACAATTAAAAAAATGATGCTAAGTTTAAAATGAAAACCAAAATTAAAAAATTTGGGCACAGGAGGGTTTACCGTATCCTTAAATGACGCAGACAGACAGGCGGAGAGAGAGAAAGGCGCAGAAGGATACAAATAGTATTCACATGTTGCTTTGGCCTGAACATTGAAATGTGTCAGGATTAGAATGATATTTTTTGATGTGGATGTAAAATGGGTTATCCTCCCATGCTGTGTCTAAGATTTAGTTGTTCTGTGTACATGCACCGTAGTCATTTCAACAATTACTTCCTTTTTTTCTTTGAAATCTAATATAGTCAATCCTACGATGGACCCAGCTCCAAACCTGCAGTATGTATTTTTGAACAGAACCTTTAACATGTGGTGCCCAGTAAAAGGTGCGCCGGCTCCATACATTGTATGGAGAAAAGATGGTGACTCTGTTCAAAATAGTACCAGCATAACATTTCAGCATAAAATAACTTCGAAAAACAACGTGAACTACAGCTGCGAGGTAAGAAGAGATGGAGAGGTATTAAGAAGGAACATCAGCCTCAGAATT